TGGTTTTCTAATTTTTTTTCTAATCCCTTTTACTACAATTTGCACGCATTAGAAATGCTTTCAATACTTCCATGAATTGTAATCGCGGCATAAAAAGTTGTTTTCTCTCCAAGGAAAGGAAGAAATTGCAAGTAAGCGACGAAAACGCAGTCGGGGAAACATCGCGCGCAAATGTGATAACGACGGAAGTTGAGCGATAGATCGTTTTTGCGCGCGCGTGACGTATCCAAGGAAGTTCACAGACGTGACTCCGATGTCCGGCGCGATTATTCACCGGATCGCGCGAGGAACTCGGCTTCCTCGACACAGTGACCTCGTCAATTTTCGGTGGAGATAGTCGGTACCCTCGGAAGGATTCGAGCCTCTTCCCGCGGCGGCGAGGATTTACGGATGTCATAAAGCACTAAAAACGGTTACGGTAACTTCGCGCGACGTGGCAGTTTTATTCGCGCCATACATTCGGCGGGCGACGGCGGCTGAGCGTCTACCATATCGTCGCTCAAAAACGTACAAAAGTAACAATGAAACGTGCGATTTCGCCTGGGCGCGTCGAAAGTTCGCCGCGGCGCTAGGAAAACCCACGGGCGCGCAACTTTTCGCGAACACCTCGTGTCCCCCTGCGCTTACGCGCTATACGCGCGGGGCGAGGATGTATATCTCCACGCCAGCCCAGACAAACCATGCGCCACTTCCTCTCTCTCATAAATAAATATGAGCTCAGCCTCGTCCGTCTCTCTCCCTCCCGGGCTGTCGTATTTGTCGACGTGCGAAAAAGAAAGGCGACCGAGCGGCGGGCAAACGGCGAGCCATGCCACGAGAGGAGATATCTCGACATTCTTCCTCCCGTGCGTAGCGGTACGCGTCAGCCGTCGTCACTATCTTCTTCTCGAGAGAAGAGCTATCGCGTCCCGCGTGTCCTCGAGCTCCGATAATGTATTAGCTTCCTGGTAGAATGTGACTGAGCGTCAGCGGCATTCCGAACTTTAAAGCATAAGGCAACGGCACAAGATACTATTTTTCCTGGATTCCTTACGAGAGTCAATCAGGATGCAGAGTTTTAGATCAGCGGGTCAATTCTGTATCTTATACTGTAGTGAAAATGCTAAAAGTGAGTAGCTCTTTCTAACTGTCTTCTTCTTCTTCTTCTTCCTCTTAATTTAAGCTTGAGGCCTGTTTTTCCGATTAATTCGTCTCTCGTGATTCGGATGTCCAGCTGTCCATCCATATCTTTGGGGGTCTTCCTGGGGGTCTTCTGGATGTTGGTTCCCTATCTCTTGCTGTTCTCTCTTCCCCCATTCTGGATACGTGATCGTTCCATTCACGTCTTCTCCGTCTTACTCACCTGACGATGTCTGGAACATCGCAGGTTTCCCTGATCACCTCGTTGGGTACTCTGTCTCTGAGTGTCTTTCCCAGGATGGTTCGGAGAATCCACATCCCTGTCGTGCGGGCCATGTTCTTGGTTTTCTTTCTCTTTCTAACTGCCCCCTCTGAAAGAGACAAAGCCGCTCATTTTTAGCAGTTTTACTATGTTGCAAGATGCAGAATTGACCCCCAGGTAACTTCAGTCTAAATCCTCATTGGCTGTCGTAAGCGATCCAACAGGAAAACTAGTACCATTGGCTCGATTCTATAATATAGTGAACGCAAAACGCAAGACTCTAAGCCGCAACCGAGAAATCGGTCGACGACAGGTCATTTTTCTCACATTTGACTGTGATTGGTCGATTTCTTGCGATTTGCGTCTATTGTAGAATAAACTTAACGGATGGATGAACCGGCGGAAGCTTCGGGTACTGACCGGGGTTTATCGCGGGGTAAAAGTGTTGGCGGCGCAGCGAGCGGAGGGAGGGAGGCGATTTTTCGCCGTTAATGAAGCTGTCCCTCGCCCTGAAACGGTCGAGTATTAGCGGATACTCGGTTAGCCGTGGAAATTGCAGCGTCTCGCTCTCGCGCGCGACAGCGCAATTACAATAAACGGCGTCTCTCGCTACCGGCACGGCACGTACCCTCCTATCTTTCATCCGTCTCTCTTTCACCTCCCCTCAGTTTACGCCGTCTCCGAGAGCCTCCTTCTCCTCGGGCTAACGTTTGTTCTCACTCGCGGTAGGTAGAGAGCATAAGCGGCACGCTTACGTAGCGGGGTCGGGGCTTAAATTAAATCCGGCTAATGTAACCGACGGGTATATTAGATCTCTTGTCTGCGGGCGCGTGTCCTCCCCCTCGCGCGCACACGGACTCTCGGGGTTGGCCCGTGGAAGGGCGAGTAGGCAGACGATGAGCCTCGAGACGCGATGCCGAGGGGTAGACTCCGGTAAAGACGAAACGCGCCGGTGATCAAGCCGCGTAATCCTTTACTTTTTCATCGGCTGTCCCGCATTTCGCATTTATTGACTTTCTCTCACCGCATCTCCCGATTCTGCGATATACATCCGTCGAGCCACGGCCGCAATTTAGCTGCCACGCTATAAATTCCTACTGAATTAATAATAATCACGGAGTGCTCGATAATAATAACTCACGGTGAACATTAACCGGCCGAAAAGTAAATTATAACAAACGCGTATATTTTAAATTAAATAAACGCATTTCCGGCGATTTGTATTTTCACAAATAATATTTTTATGGCAAACAGAATCGACTAGCTTTCAAGTAAAATATTTATGCGCATTATTTCAAAGGCGATCCTCAAAGTAAACGCGAATATCGTCGAAAAGAGATTCCGGGCATTGTTACACTTATTGTTAATATGACTATATTAGCTTTATAAATCTTAAGCTTTCCAAGAATAAGGGAGCGCGTTTTTGTCAAGCTGCTTTTTGGCACGGCGCTGCGAAAGTCTGCGGTCTCGCTGCATCCAGACATCTGTATGCGCGCCGTCTATATGTGATATCCACAGACGTGACGGCGGAAAGGTTGGCGAAAGAGGGAGACGGGAATAAGAGAACGAAACGGAGATAGAGGAGGATCAAAGAGAATCCGGTGGAGGTGACGACGTTGTCTACCGGCGCCGGAAGCTCCGTGATCGAATCGCTAATTAGCACTCGCTCCCAGCCGGAGGACTCTTTGAGAGTAGCAACTACTTCTCTCCCGTCGTTAATGCATTCGGATCGAGTAAATCCATTTTAAGCTCGCTACGCCGCGGCTGCGGTGCCTGGGACGCAAACTTGTCGGGAACAATTAATCGTATTTATTTAAAGATTTACGGCGTGACCGATTTCCCGATTAGAACGGGAAATATCGGGCAGTCGGGACGCGCGCTAATGCACTTCAATTCTCGGAAGCGCGACTCGGCAGTTAATTAGTCGTTATATGTTGTAACAACTGTGTGTAAATCTGTATACTGTACACGCGGAGAGAATTTTCTCTTCAAATTTATCCTGAAAATCATGTAGTCGTGGGACAACATGGCATTTTCAACAACTTTACGAGAGATTTCTCAAGTTCTGTCATACATTCCACTAGTAAAATGTATACCAACTGTAAGTATAATTACTAGTAAAATGTGTGGTAAAATTTAAAAAAAAACCTCATAAAAGTCTTCGAAATGTCACGTTATCCTACGATTACATGATTCTCAGGATAAGTTATTTAAAAAAACCTCTCCTTGTAGTTTATATTGGCACCGAACGTAAAAATTCTACATGCAGAGAATTCTCTTTTGAAATTTACCCTGAAAATCATGTCGTGGGTCAACACGGCATTTTGAAAAACTCTCATCAAATTCTTCCAAGTGCCATGTTGTCCCACGATTACATGATTTTCAGGATTTTGAAGAGAAAATCCTCCCCGTGTACAGTATATTATACGTAACGCTAACTTGTTCCGCAACCTAAACGGATATTTATCAAAGTGATATTAGGAAAAACGATGACACCGATGTCCACAGTGCTTTGTCGGAGCGTTGCAATCGTCCCGCAAGAAAAAAAGAAATTTTGTCGTACGCCCACGGGTGCCATAAACACTAATTCGTATCCCACGCTGGTTTGCCCTCGGGATCGAACGAGCCGGTACCGGAAAGTGATAAGACACAATATCTCACAATTTCGCGCAGGTCTTGCGGGTTTTCGCGTCCGTGGTAGCTAATAAATTATTACGAACGATGACGCCCGAAAATGTGCAATCGACCAATAAATGTTCCGTCAGTGAAAAAAAATAGAGATGGCGATACATCTGTTTTCATTACAACTCCCGCGCCGCGCTAATCACTTACGTCAATTTATATCGATTTAATATCGCGGTGATTAATGTTTACGCCGGCCATCAATATTTCCCGCGTTATCGCACAATAGGCGGACTAAATAAAATTAATCGCTCGCATTTGCCTGATTCGTGAAAAATTTATCGCCGTACCTGCGAGCGGAAATGCAGAAATTGTACTGTGCATCGAATGCGTTTCTATCAATTGTCCGACGCGAATCCGCTGTCCGGGCGGACTCGGGCGAGCTATGCATCAATCTTTCGCGAAAAATCCTTTCCAAAAAGTTATCTCATTAACCGGTCGCGGCGGCCCCCGTTCGCGACGCTCCGACCAAAGGTGTACACGATCTAAGTCCGGCGCGCTTAATTAAGCGAGCCGCTCGTACGCGCGTCTGAAGGGTGGAAAAAAGATCAATAAAATCGCTAGTCTACGGGCGACCGCATTCATCCGCCACCCCATTTCTACAACATATTTTGCAACCTCGCCCCCGTATACGGGCCTCGACTGACCCTCCCCTCGCTCTTCGCCAGCCTCACGTGCTCGTTTCGCCCCCACCCTTCTGTTCACCACCGGGGTGGCGAACGGTGCGCGCGCGCGCGCGCGAGGGTACGCCGATCTACCACTAGATGGTGACGGGGGGCGAGAGCCGTAAGCGAGACGGAGCGAGCGCGCGCGGTCGGACGAGGACGAGAGGAGGCCGTGCGAGAGAGGGTCTGAGAGCCGCGCGCGGGTTACCTCCCTCCCCTCGGCCATCTCGCCGCCGACCAACTGGAGTCTCTCGTCAGCCTGTCAGTTAGTGCCGTGGCGCCGTGACGGTACGGTGTTGGGTTGGTCGGTTGGTACGTTGTTCCTTACCGCGTCGCGTTTCCTCAATGGGCACCTCGTGGACCCAGTGCGCGAGAAGATACGCGGCCGCCGAGGGCCGACAGTGACACGCCGGCGTCGCCGACGTCGCCGCGGATCGAGGTGCCCGCCCGGTAGTTTTGCATTTTTTTTAAAACGGATATTCACGTAGGATCGTGCGAGCCCCAGGAGGCTTTTAAATAGTCTTCTGCCGAGACGAGGGAGGTGTACGTGTGAAATTTAAAAAAAAAATTGCCATCGAGTGAAGGAACACATAGGAGAGACGACAGTTGTGATCGATGATTTCTTTGGTGCTCTTTCTTGGTGTGTGCGCGTACGGTCGCTGATAGTAGAGCACCCGATAGCGGATATACGTGATACATAACGCACAAGGTGAGCACGTTTCCTTTTCTCTCATAATGCGCCCCCTTTTAATTACGCGCGCGCACGTCAAGCGGGACCGGAGTACGCGGACACGCGGTGTTGCGCGCAGCGGCAACGTGAAAATTGTCAAAGGGTGCAGTGCGCGCAGTACGCGCGGCCGCTATCGATAGCGGCGTATGTAATTTCGCCGTGATATCTGTAATTACGTCGGGAAATTAGAATATAAATTGCCGACGGGAGAGCAGTGAGTTTCAATTGTACTGTCCGGAATTTACATTAGCGCGTTCCCGTCAAACGATCTGCGCTTTAGCAAACCTGCATACTTTAAAGGTATTGATAAAATCGTATTTTGTAACAAATTATTTGTAATACTCACCGTCACCGGTTTTGTATATATAATCGTAATTTCAGTCGCGAGATAAAGGACCAAATTTTATTTTCGCATGGTGTTCGGTAATTTTTTTACTAAAACGAAGGGGACATTTCTCTCCCCAGTCGTTGCCTCGCGTAGTGGAATTAGAAAAATATTCAACTACGTTCTTCTACGCTAGCCTCGAGATGCCCTCAGAGATTTTCTACTCTACTAGTCTATTCTTTTCTAATCCGGTCCCGAGAAATGTCGGGCGGAATCTGATTTCCTTCTTCTTTCGTTGTCACTCATTGTCGCCTCGTCCCTCACGTTGGAAATGATTGCGATGAAGCCGTGAAGGGATTCCATGCATTTCGGCCGAGGAGTCAGGATAGCATCGATTAATTCCGTAAGCTCCACTTCCGACGAAAAGCGAATGCGAGGAGGAATCAAATGGAAGAAGATAAAGAGTGAATAAGGTGGATTAGCGAGAGGAGACCCTCGAAGGGTTCGTCGACGACTGTCGGCACGCGGAGGACAGGGAGGCGGGGGGGACAAATGAAATTTCGTCGCGGCAAATTGTCCGAAAGCGACGCCGCAGAAATCACCCCGACGATTAACAGAAGATCTCCTAAGACTTGCTAATTTCCTGCTTGGAGCGCCGGGCCAGGGAGAGGCAATATCGAATCGGAACTCCCATCCATTAGCGCGGCGATCTATTTGTTGGAGACGCCTTAAATCCTCTGAATCGAGACGTGGACTGGTTCGCCAAGAGTTGTTTAATCCTCGCGGCCCTCAAAATACGGCGCACGTTCCGGATCCACGTAGTTTCGAGGTAGCAAAATAACGCAACAGGCAATGACGGATGAAAGAGAGCGGAGGAAGTCGAGCGGAATTGGAAATGGTCCAACCGAGTCCCCGATCCTCCATTTCTATGCGATTTCGATTCCTACCGGTGCCAAGTTCGAGTAAATTAGTTGTACGGGTGTTTACTACAAATTACACCGGGGTCGTTAATGCATTTGGACGAGATCCGAGTGGGCCACTTTTCTCCGTGGAAATATATGTATTCGCTGTGTCAAGATTTCATATTTCATTATGGAAAACAAACAGAGAGAGAGAGAGAGACCCTCGTTACGGTTACGCCCATGTCTCAACGCTTTCGGGAATGGGAACATGAATTGAGAGGGCATAAACTGTCGTTATGAGAAATCGAAGATCGTGCCTCACTCCGTCGAATGCCGAGCGTGTTCGATGTCGCGCGATTTTAGTGGATTTAAGCGCAGTCAGGAAAGTAGGTTCTGAATATTGATGAAGGGATATGAATATATTCATAGGGGCTAACAGTTTATTTCTACAGCCGGGTCGAATCGGCTCGCATTGATCACTCGTTCGATTCGCGCAGCGCGGCCTTTCGACGGTAAATTCGAACGATTAATATTCGTAGATCCGTGTTCCGCGTCCCGTCCCGGGCTGGGAGGTCGCAAAGTTCTCCGGTTGCGACCCCGAAAATCCTTCAATTTCCTACTTTCCATTACGCCCGTGATTGCTCGATGTAGATTCCCGACGCGACGGCGCGCTTGACAGCCTCGCAATCTTTAGTCCCGGCTCATAATATCTTCATTACGAGACAAGAGCCTGGGCGAATTTTACGACAACTCCCTTGACGACTTCGCAGCGGGATTGACTGCTGCCGAACCGGTCGTAAATTATTGTCTAGTTATTATTAATCCGCGCGACGACGGCTTCACGATCGATACTCAATCGCCCGACGTGGATCGTTCCGTCTCGCATTATCGCGGCGGTGATGATAAATTCCGCCGGCTCGGGCGCGCGAGGGAAAAACGATAAATTAATATCCGCGCGATAAATTTTCCGCGACGTGGACAGTGACGTTGCCGAAATAATCGAAATGCTAATTATTCATTTGCATAATTAACGCGAATGCAGTAAAGCGACCTCCGGCGCACCGTGAGCGGTCCCACATGCCATTGGAGATTAACGGTAGCGTGCGTCCTGTTAATGTTCATTTTGAATATTAACTCCTCGGAAATGAACGTGCACGATCGCCGAATCATTATGGCCGAATTTAACGCGGCTGAGTGAACCGCGCGTATGCAGCCCCGCCGCTATGAATTTCCGGCGTTATCATTTTCAGAATCGCCTGCCGCTGCGGCTGTTGTGCAGAATCGCGATGACACACCGTCATCATTGTAAATCTCTATCGTCGCTCTGGGTATCTATTTAATTGAAATTTCCTACGTCACGCATTTGCGCCGTTTATTATGTTATAAATAATAATTGCGTGTATAAATTTTATGATATACGCCGGTCACGTTGAAAAGATCTGGACGAAATGATATGAGCTGCGCTGTCGATCGTTGGTGTAACCGAGCGGAAGAAAAGCATTTTGCTTTGTATTCTCTTTGAAAGACGCGCTTTGTGGCTAACAATAAGACAGCGTTGACAAATGAAATATTATTTCCCTCGTGCGATTTGCTAAACCGAAAGCCGAAACATGCTCGATCTCATAGGACAGTCGTTACAAATTTGTGCGACCGTAACTGTTAAATCCGCACTTTTCGCTGCCTCGCACGTATCGCTTTGTCCGGAACGTGGCGTGCGTCGTTCACGGTCGATTTCGAGAATGAAAAAAGCGCCTTCGTTAAAATAGAAAACGATCTCTCCGTTTTAAAGAGACTCCCGGCGTTTCGGATTTGGCTTCTCTCAGGGGTCCGTTTTGGCCGTCGGTGTCCAAACACGAAGCGAAACAGCGGGTGGCCTATAGGCACGATGATGGCTCCGCGTCAACGAGAACGTATCAGCCAGCTGCTGGCGCGGCGCGGCGAATAGATTCAGAGACGGTCGGGGGCCCCTGCACCTGATTGCCGGACATTCATCTACCCCCGGACGTAGAAGGTGTACTAACTCCGTGGGAACCCACCGCTGTTCTTTCACCCCCTACGCGTGCTTGTTGCACAATGGCCGAACGCGCATGGCCGTGAGATAATGGCTTTCTAATTGCCGCGCGCGACTGTGTGCGGGACTCTTATAGTTTCAGAAAAAAAGAGGATGCCGAAATAGAGAAGGAACTACGGAAAGGAAAAATATAAGGAGAGAAAGCGCTGAGAAATAAACGATACTCTTGTCGCCTGTAGCTTCTCCAGTCAAATATCCCTGCGCGCAGTTAATTGACAACGAGGAATAATTCATGGGTCTTTCAATTGTGTCTCAAGTCTTTTTCACTCGATGTGTTTTATTACGCCTCATATAATACATGTGTTTCATATAATTATACAATTTTTCTGTTAAACGCAACCAACGCAAAGTAGGTTTTTTTTAGTTGAATCCGGTCTCTCGATCGTAATGACATCAGGCCTGAGAATGATACTCGTACTTAATAAAATCGGAGCACCGGGTTCGACCACGGGCACGAGCGCAAGACTGGTCTCCAATCGCCGGACTCGGGGACTCTGGATTGTCCGAACGATTTCGCGACCTCTGGCTCATTTGTCGGGTCAAGCTTTAACGATCGTCGCGCGGGCGTTGTTGCGCCTTAATGCCCCGCGGCGGCCGTCCTTCGCATATGAGCCGCAAAATCGATTCCCCGGACTCGGTAAACCGATCATAAATTCGAGCGTCTTAGAACGCAGGTAGAACGTCGCGGCTAGAAAGAGGAGGTGGAGTAGGAGGTCGTGCATCTCCTCGACCTCCTCGGCAGCGGCTCCACGTTGCACCTTTCGCGCGCATAATGTCGCGGTTTTAAGTGCCCACGCGTGCTCCCTTCTTCCTCTCACTCCCCTCCCCCCCCCCTCTCTCTCTCTCTCTCTCTCTCTTTCTCTCTCTCTCCCTCTCTCTTTCTCTCTCTCTCCCTCTCTGCTCCTTTTCATGAAACGCGTCAGGAGATCGAGAGAGTGAAAGGATGAAATATGTAAGACAACATAATGTTACCTCCTAAGGGATACACCTGACGTAGGAAGAACGCTCGGAGTGCCTGTACCGAATATATCCACCCTCGGGAATAAACGGCCTGGGCCATAATTCATTCTAAATACTTGTATGCTAATAACGATGCCACGATGCAGCGGAAATTTACTATTCCCAGGCGTTCCCCGGTAGTCTTCCTGCCGCTTTGCCCTCCGTTCTTTTCGTACGCCTTTCTGTTCTTTATCCCTTTATTCCCGTCGCTCTGTCTCCAAACCGCCAACCGTCCCTGCGCGCTCCCCTTTTTTACTCACTGTTACTTCCCCCCGCCCTCCTCCCGTTCTTCCTCCCCGACCGTCGCGAGGACTCGAGGAACCGGCGTATTAGCTTTATATTATACGCGCGATAGAATTTATGCAACGGCCGTGGGATCCGTAATCCCGTAGAACCATAAAGTCCGTTATCTCGATCGTTTATCCGCGGTGCCGCGTCTCCACGTTTCGGTATCGCGACCCCCTCCTCCTCGTCCTGACTTTCTTTCTGGCCGCTATGGGAAGTCAGTGGAGAAGCGAAATTGAAATCCTTCTCCACGAATGGCCCGCGGAAGACGGACGACGCGGATTCATCCGTTGAAACAGTGGATACACTTCGAAACTTCGTGGTATACGACCATATATTTCGAGCCTTTATGCCTTCCCTTTTCATCCCTCGTGCTAGTGGCATAAAGAACGTTCGG